TGCCATTTTTCACTCGGGTAGTCAAGTTCTGACAACTAGCAAGCAATTGTCTAAAAAAGTCTATTGTTTTAGCCCATTTATAACGTTTATTGTTTAACAATAACGTCTATTGTTTTAGCTGGCTAACGTACTGTCAGCTCAACTGACCAGTTAATTCAATATATTATCTGATTCTCATGACAAAAATGTCTGTTTACATGTCGCTCCCCTCCTCCTCATTTACGTCCTCAGAGGAACAATCTTCGATAAAAAAAAAATCCGTTTGATTTTGAGGCATTGGATCATGCATTAGTCAAATGCAAATGAAAATGTATTCGCTTTTGCCTATGTTCAGAAAAAAGCAATGCAATCAGTTGAAAATGATCAATCGTAATCTATTTTGGATTGCTATTTTTTAAATTTGAATTTATTTCATTTGCTTTTGTTTGGATAACAATTGCAATAACATCCCGTGTGGAAAAAAAGTGACATGAGTTTAATCTGCTCACGGGAACAAAATCAAAAGCATTTTTGTATACATTCGCAATCAATATTCAATATTTACAGTAATTTTGTTGAATTATTAAATAAGATTCATAAATTTACTGTCACCTGACTCAACAAAATCACTGTAAATAATGAACATTAATATCAACAACACATCATCATCCACAACTTATACTTTATAATTTTCAGTCCGATGATCGTACTTAAAACAGCCACCTCTACAAGGCAGCAACACTACTCAAGCAATTTGGATTAATTTTTTGTTCAAGCCAACTCGAAGAAAGGTAAAACAATGTCGGATGATCGTTGGCATGGATTTTATGTATGCAACTGTGGTCATAAGTTCAACTCTATAAACCGTCAGTCAAACCTAGCGATTTCATGTTCCAGATGTTTGACCATGAATTCTCCACAATGTGATGTAAGTAAAACTATGAAATGAATTCAACGAGGTTTTTTCCAAATATTCAATAACAAATTGAATTCTAATTCTTTGATTCAATTCCAGATGAAGGCCACACAGTGCAAAACATGTAAACGTTACAGTTAGATGATATAACAACTGAAACATGCCGTTGTCTTTCATCATGCGAATAAATTTCTACGGAAAACACATTTTGTCAATTTTTATAATGATTGAATAAATCGACACTTAAATTCGTTACTCGACAAAACCCCAATAAAAATCAGTGTTTTTTCTTATTTAAATATCTTCTAGAAGTTAGTCACCTCTACAGATTTTTTCTTAGAACCTTCTTGATATGTCAAATGGCGACGCATCGAAGAATACCAAAAAAATTGTACTATTAAAAGGAAAATCAAACAAATCGCTTGTTTAGAGTTGTAGAAATAATGAACGGTATTTATTTGTGTAAATATTTCTTTTCTTATTAACATCAAACTTTCGTTTCTTAAGACTTGGAATATTTTTTGTTGTTGTTTTTTTGTAAAGGAAAGGAAATACTTTTTGTTTTGTTTCAGTGCGAAACTGAATGTAATTGGAAAAGAAATTTAATCTAAAACTAATAGAAAATGTGTGTTTGAAAATAATATGTGGCATTCACAGTGATTTGGTTTTTATTTAAAGTTGAACTGTTCAAAACTTATTGGGTTTAAACGCCTGTGGCATGCATGGACCAAAAAACACATGCATCAATATCACGGAATGTGTTCGCCATTAAAATGGGTAGAGATCTTCATCATCGAAATCGCATTCGTTTGTCCAAACCTGTGAAAATGCAATCAAAATCGATTAAAAATGACATGCTGATTTGTGTGATTTTAAGAAGAACCCATAACCAAATGGCACTTACATTGTATGGATCATTAAATTCTTCGTCATCGTCAATGCCATCGTCAATATCATCATCGACCGGATCATAATCAAATGCGCCACCTTCTTCGGCAAAATACAAATTGTCAGAGACCACTCCCGATTTATAGTTGTCTTCCCAGGACAATGGCACCACTTGCAAAATATGCAAATATTCTTTGCGCATTTCATCGCTGATCAATTCTTTCGTCAATTTTAGCTCATAGTAGTCCAAATGAATGCTGAGCTGCAATTTATCGACACGTTTCATTGCACTTTCCGCCATTTGGACAAATTGTTGCGATGTGATCGGAATGATTTTGCTGCATTGAATGATGACCAATTTTTCGAGTTTCGGTGCATTTTCGACGAATTCAAGCATTTGCTCAAAATCAATAACATCACATTCGATAACGTGAAATTCTTTGAGTTTGTCCAGCTGCTGTGCAATCGATTTAATGCTTTTCAATTGGCCATCGTACATCGAAATAAGCTTGAGAATTTGTAAATTTTTCAAATTGCACAAGGCACCACACAATTCTGGTGTTAGTTCAGCCGATGATATGCCCAATTGTTCGATGCGATTTGTCATTGCCAAACCCGATACAAATGTAACAATTGGCCGAAGATTACAATTAAATTCAAGCTTACGTAAATGTTGTAAACGCAATAAATTGTTGAGATTGGTTTCGAATTGTGAGGTCACATGCACCACACGAATGTACAATGCTTCCAAATTGATGAGATTGTCGGCAATAATTTCGAAAATTTCGTCATCAACAAAATTACAGCCAATCAACGACAACGATCGAAGCTGTGTATTTTTCTTCAGGAATGTATTCATGCACAATGGATCAAAGTTATCATTCGATCGCAATGAAAAGCCTTCGAGTTGGGGAAATTCGTGCATCAAACAACGACCTGCAATCATTAAAACCGTGCATTTTTTTTAATTAATAAATTTTCTAATCATGTGATTTTAAGTGGTTTATGCAAACGACACTTACCATCTGTGTTCATTTGACGTATCATTTCCAATTGATTAAGCGATGAACATTTTTGTAATAATTCCTTTAGCACATCATCATCCACATAGCATTTATCAATCGTTAATTGATCGATATTGGACCAGAGACGATTGCAACGTTCGACCGTTTCATCGTCGATTACAAATTTAACCATTTTAAAAAAGCGTAAACGCTTGGCACCACAGTATTCATTGATAATTTGGAGCACAACCTTTGATTCCGGTTCAAATGAGTCTGCATTCACTGTCACCGAATCCATTTGACCGCCAAATGTATTGAGAATTGTTTTCATTTCATCCTCCGTTAATAGTGAATATTCACCTTTTATATTCGTATTGCTAAAATTCAACGTTTTGTAAACCATTTTGAAAAAATATTCAGCAAGTGCATCAAATCTTTTGCAAGTATAACGTATTGCACACAAATCCAATACAGACAATCGTTGAAAAATTTCTAGCACACAGTCATCGTTTAGATCATAAAATTTTGTCGCATTCGATTCATATGGATTGTGAAAAAATTCATTTTGATGAACCTCCGCTGACATAATACTTTTTTGTGCTCTTTACAATTTTCGTTTATTTGAAAAATCGAAAAAAATTTGGTTGTTTTTCTCTCTACGTTAAGGACGATGCTTGTGCTCAATGACGATGTGACATTCGGTATTTTGTTGTTAAATGAGGCTAAGGAGAATCCAATGTGCGTTATACCGATGACCTTCTTCAAAATTAACTATTTTCAATCAAAAAGGGAAAAAAATCTGCAAACAAACAACACCAACATGCAAATTAGTAAGAAAGAATAATGATGACAAACTGAAAAATCAATTGCATATTTTCGTAAATCACACTCACCAAATATGGGTAATAAAAAGCAAAACTAAAGAAATAATTTATCCGCACACCTTAGCTGTAATTCGATCAGATGCTGATGTGTTTTTTTTATTTTTGCTCACCAGTGGAAAAAACGTACAATGTGCGATTTACTGCAATGTTAACTGCGTCAAAATGTGTATGCCATACAAAAACAACGGAGTCAAACATAAACCTTACTTGTCACATATCGTTTATACAGGAGAAATATGTATCCCTATCGGTAAACAATCCACCTAACGCCATCTTTATCTTGAAATAAAAAAAAAAGTTAAATGAAAACATTCGTTTCAGTCAGACGTTGAATCTGCAACACATTCATGGAATGTTCGTTAAACGTTTCGATAAATATCCTTTTACAACATTTATTGTGTATTACAGACTGTATTGGGAAACATTACCATTTAAACTGAATTGAATTCAAAATGAGTCATTTATTTAGATCATCGTTTCGTTAAGCTATTTTTCACACAAACAAACGATTTTCGTTTGAATTACTTTCATCCACTGTCATCCAATTCATTGATACCGATTTTTTTTGCATTTAATTTTTGATATTTTTCAAATTTTGATTTTGCTTTCAAAGTTTTGACGCAATTTAAAAACAACATATTTGAATATTTTGTTTATTTTTGTAACCGTGTTGACTCTTTATTTTTCAAATTATTTGTTTATTTCATAATGTAAGGCTGTGTTTGTGTCAAATAGCTGAATTTCATTTTATAAATAAAAGTGATTAATTCCGTTTAGAATTCATCATTGGATTTTGGGCATTTCGATATTTTTTCAATTTTTTATTGCATACATTTGTTCTGATTAAATTTCATGCTTTATTTACACAACTCTTTATATATATAACAATATATATGTAGAAACAGTTTATGTAAATAATCGGGTTTTGCAATTGTTCACAAACAAAATGCAAACGCTTAATAATCATTCTATTTATGCAATCGAGTTGTATACTCATTTTTGTGCACCATTGTCAATATGCACTCCTGATAGGTCTGTATTTTTACTTTCATTCAAGTCCTGACCAAAAAATATTGAAGGTCGAATAAGCTCATTGTTTCATCAATCGAACGGCAAAGTTTTGTGTGAAAAATGTCACATTTAACATGGAAGTGTTATAAATGTGGGGCGATAAAAGAAACATATTGCTATGACCTGGAAGCTTGCAATTGCTCTTTAACAAAAGAAAAATGCTACACATGCAACACTGCGATGGATCTTGTAGATAAAACATCAGAAATGTTGATGTTGGCATTATAATTGTAAGTCGAATTCTTAACTTAAAAAAAATCTTTAATAGTTTCTATTTTTTTAATTCCATCAGAATTCCCTTGGAGCAAAGTGACCGGTTACATCAACAAACATAAAAACAACCATTTCCTGTCTCACTTTTTATATATCAAATTGCATTTTTCAATAATGCTAAAAACCAAAGTGAATAAATGTAAAGAAACCCACAAATGTTCATGTATGTTTTTTTTTGCGAAAATGTTTTGTCCATTCTTTAGATCCATTGAATTGAAACATCTGTATGACAAAACAAAATGTTTGTGTAGTTTTTTGCCTTTATTTATCATAGAGGTAAATGCGACAAATTGCATTGAAATCATTGTTCGACATGTAATTAATTTATCGTATACAAGTAGAATGATATTTTAATATATTCTGCGAAACTTTTCGAGAAAGAAATACTATTTCAGTTGAGTGAGATGAATGTATCGTTCTTGATTCAGCATTTTTGTAATCAAAAGACGAAAAATGCATCTTTTTGCATTATCAACTGTCTTGTGTAATTTCAATTTTTCCAAAATACTGGAAATGAATAAAATGCTAAGAAAAATGTCAAAAATCAAATATTTTCTAGTAGTTCTCATAGGTGATGACGAGGGTTCCTAGGGTTCGGATTACCCCCCTCTAAAATATTTTTAGGAACCCTCAACAATTTTGGAAATGAGGACCTTTTTTTTGCTTTTAACTTTTTTTGGCTGAGAAAATTCTTTCGATTTGCTAGGGTTTTTCGTTAAAAAAGTGAAGAGCAAAAAAAAAAAAACGATTTTATCCTCATTTCCGACAAATTGTTGACTTCGTCAGGGACCCCCTACGGCATTTTGCCGTCACCCCCTTCTAAAAAATTTTACGTCATCATCTATGAGTAGTTCTAGTACACATTTTGAATGCGTCGATTTCCAGTTTTGCATGATAATGTATTTGTCTAAAGACAAAAATGTTGTTGTCTTCTGTATATTTTTAAACTTTGAATGCATGTTTGATTGATCCGAAGCACGTTTGATTGCATTCAAATAAAAAGAATACAAAGTCTAAGTATTGCTTGAAAAGATAAAGAATGGAACACTTGTTTAAATGTAAAAGACAAATTTATATAATGAGGATTTGAATATCGGGCAAAAGAATTAAATGAAATAACCGTAATTTTGCATCGATTGTTAAGACATTGTATTCAGAATTGTGAAAATCCGTTTTCTTTTGCTCAAATCACAAATACAATGTGCGATTAATCAATGCAAACTCGATATAAAAAAAAACCGAACGGATAGACGAAAAATGTTTTAGCCAAACAAGAGGAACGTCAACAGTAACAACACCGTCAACATTGAAATTGCACCAGCAAACGATTGATGAAAACGTAAATAACAAAATAAAATCGTTTAGTAAATGATCTGAAAACGCATTGAAAAGGAAATGGATTGCACAATCACAAAACAGCAACACAACAACAACAAAAAAGAAACACTTGAAAAGATGTCGATTCGCATTCAATCTTGTCGTAGTCAATTGCAGAAAATGAGACGACTGCATGAGACATGTTTCTGATATGTACTTTTTAACATTCACTGCTCATTCCAATTCTACAATACGATAGATGATTAAAGCAATTAAAATGATTTTACTTCGATTATGATGAGCTTTAATGACGAACGAGTAGAGGACTGCAAAAAAAAAATGCCGACGAGATAACTTTATCAAAAGAAATCATTAATTTACATGCAAATAAATAGAAATGGATGGATCTAGAGAAATGTGATGGCTATGAGATGCGAAACACATCCAAATGAGCTCACCGAAATGTATCTCTTCGTACGTCAACGTTTTTTTATAGCTCAAAATGGGAAGAAGGGGAGTGAATGGTTTCAATTGCATAAAATGCTTCTTCTCACATGCAGACGCCGATATAAACAATGAGTATCGAAATCGACACACTACTTACGTCGTCGCAATTATAATGAACAATACAAGTGGGGAAAAATAATGTCCATATCATACCTTTTTATTGAGTATGTTTATTTCAATACCATCTTCAGAAGAATGAGCACAAAAAAATGCGTAAACATAATGGATGACAATTACATTATAAAAATTATTTCGAATTAACAACGAGAACGGAATAACACACGCAAACACACACGAACAAAACGTCGTTTAGATTTAAATTCATTAAATTGATGTGTTGCATATGTAAAGTTTTTTTTTCATCCATTTTAACCCAATAAGTTATGAATTTAAACATGTTGAAAATGAACATTTATGCATATTGTGTCCTCAAAAACGAACGATTTAAAAAAAAATGTTTTTTCTTTTGGAAATTTGAGGTGGTCCTCTTCTCATTACCATGAACTATTTTTTTAAATCTTGTTTGAATGCATCAGACGTGCAAAAATTCTATCCAGCCACTTTGTAGGTGATATTTAAACACACATATGTCAAGTACGTGGAATTTTATTTCAAATGCTGTGTGCAAAAAATCTAAAAAACGACTGCGTTGCAATATGACTGAATGGGTTAAATGCCGAATCAAATAAAGCATTTCAATGGTATTACTTTTTTCTCGCCCCAATTGCACCCTATACGCCAAATTTTGTTAATAGAAATTGAAAAAAAACAGTGCGTCAGACAATATGTACAACATCAATTACATATTCGCAATTTGAACATTGCCAAATCCAATTTTTTTTGCTATTCGATTTTTGTTGATGGCTCACGCAGAGACATATCAACAAATTCATAAATACGAATTAATTGCATCATACGTATCGAACGGTATTATTCCTGTATATCTTTTTTTCGCTAATAAACCACAAAATATCACTTGATTTTCATGCGATTATTTCTCAATGGCATTTGTGGTGTATTACCTAAATCGCTGTTGACTGGTAACTCCATCCTCTTGGGAACCAATTGAAAATGCATTGAAAAACATCACTTTCCCCACCTAAATCAAACTTACCGTATTTTTCCAATTGTATTTCCTTGAATAATTTTTCGTTCATGTTGAAAAAAATAGAAGCAATTACTATACCAATATTCAATATTCCCATTCGAGTTAAAAAAAAGTGAGAGTGGGCGGTGATGGAACAATGTGAACAGAATAATTCAATTATGAGAAACGTTTCGAAAATTACTGTTGAACGGATCGTATCGCTGAACAGCGGAAGAGCGAGAGAGGGCGGAAGAGCGGGAAAGGAAGAGAAAGAGAGTGAGAGTGGAATGAATTCGGCATTTAATGGTAACGCAATTATCGTTTTTGGATAGATCTGTGCTAATGTGATTTTTTTGCGTGCACGGTATCGCTCTGCTAAACGAAATTTTGAACATAGAAAAGAAAGAAAGAGAAGTGTTGTCAGCAGGATAAAACATTATTCATGTTTTGCACATTAATTGGTAATGAAATTGGTGGAAATGTCAATTCGGTGAAAATAGGTAGATAGTAATGAGCATTCATTTCGATCATAAAAACTCAGATTTAACACTGTTAAACATAAATGATTTTTCCCCCATACACATGTGAGAAACCGAATGACAACAAACAATAAATATACTAACAATTGTGAAACTCATTTCAAATGTGTCACATATCGTTGATTTTTCGCTTGTGATCGATTTGGTGCGATATCAATTTGATGGGATAGTTTAAATGTTCAATATCAACCATAATTAAGCTTCTGTTAAGCCAATAAACACTTTGATCCGTTCAATGTTGAAAAAAACAATTGAAATATTCGCGTTAAATTCCATTGTGTCAAACCATAATAATCAAGAACTAACAGTAAAGATTCACTTGTGTATGCACGTTTTGTTTGTGTATATACGTGTTCAATTCAATAGACAGCGGCAATGGCAAAAGAAAAATTCTTTGAGGTTATGTTCAAACCTTATATATGTAGAATCAATTGTTCGTTCACTATAATAAATGTAATTTAAAACTGTTTTGTTTTTTTAAATAAAACACAAAATGATTTTCCAATAGAACTCAAGATGTATTGTATTTCATTGGAATCATCAATTTTCCATATTTTCTGATGCAAAAAATAACCTTTTTTGTTAACTGATTTGTTAAAAAAATGCTTTTTTATTTATCGTCGTGGTCGCTGCAAATACATTGTTGTGATGAATTTTTTTTATATTAAATTCAAAATTGATGTGAATCCAGTTGATTGTTGGACGGTGGTAATTTAACTGAAGAGCAACAGACGATACGGGCAATTGGTGTTTTTAATTTGCTTGTTTATTTGACTTCTTTAACTTGAAGACCTGGTGGCAATGATTGTTTCAATTTTTCGGCCTTCTCTTTGTCAGCAACAACCAATGTGTACAAGAAGCGTGAGCAGCGAATCTTGAATTTGGTGTTCAATGGATTCTTCTTTATTTTAACGGCACGAGCGTCCTTTCGGCGCGCCTTGATCAAAAAATCTTTCACTTCTTTGATTTCTTTCGGCATTTCTATTGGTACGACAACAACGTGTTTTTATATGTCATCACACATGCACCACACCATTTATACACCGTGCCAAACACGAATACACGACAATGAAAAAGAAAATAAGAGCAGAAAAAACAACAATTTTAGATATATTTTCAATTATAAAATCAATTTATCGATTTAACTCGAATTTAATTGGAATATTGTCAACAATTTTGCACAAATTACTTACTGTTTTTCGAGTTTTTTTTACAGAGAGTGAAAACGCACAACTTCTCGATTCTGCACGCTCAGTGAAAAGAAAGATTGAGATGCAATATGGCGTCAACTACTTCCGTCTATACGTCGTATTGTGCGAAATGTCATTCATACGTATGTCAAATGTACTCTACTACGTAGACTCTCTCACTTGTCATACAGTACGACATGAAGTTTGTACAAAACATTCATTTTCATTTTAAACATAATTAAACATTTTTTTTGGTTTTTTTTTTTTTCGATAAAAAAATTTTTCGCGTCATTTTTAATATTTATATTCATAAAAATATTTTGAGATCTGAAAACAATATTTTTTTCTCTTTGTGTTGCGGTAATGGAACTCGTATTCAAGTAATTTAGCATATTGTTATCGACACTGAATTTATTATGAGTGAGTTCGAGAGGAGGGGGAAATATTTTACCGACTTCGCGATGTTCAAAACGAAACATTCAATTGCGCTGTTTGAATAGCGATAATCGGTTTTGTATCGGGATTTCAAAGACTTTGATTTTTATACATTTTTAGATATTTATTTCAAATAAATTGATATTTTTTACTCTAAGGGTTATTGATTTTATCAGCAAATAACATATTATTTTCGTATGAATTGAGTTTCCCATAGAAATATGAAAAAAGATCTTATCTTATTCAAACATCGGCTTAAATACCCAATATTTATAAGTAACTTACACACAGAATGTTTTTCGTACAGTAAGAATTACACATGGTTTTTGTGGCACTTTTTCCATTTTTTGTTTTTGAAATTATGCAAACATCCAACTATGTATGAACGAGACTTGAATATGCAGTACAAAAACGCATACATTTGCACTTCGAAAAAGCTACAATGTCGATGTGAATTTTGGTTTTCTTCTACTTGTTTGCGATTTTCTTTTTGTTATATGAATGTAAATTAAATTGAATGAGCCAGAATAAAAAACCGACTTGAACTTGGACTTTTATGGGTTCAAATTAGAAGCTGACTTTTTATTCTGACCCAATCAATTAAGAATAACTATACAAAATGATAAAAAAAACTTCTATTTTCAAAATAATAATATTTCTTTTTCAAAATAAAGTAGATTTCATTTTTCAATCGGCAAAGAGGAAGAAAACATAACATTTTGTGCTTTAAAAAGAATGTAATTCCTATGAGATAAAAAGTACCGTTACGTTAATTATTAAATGAAAAAAAAAGCAAAAATGTAAGCTGTAAATATTTTGAATACGAAGAATAATATTTCTGCAGTTCAACAATGGAACAAAAATATGGAGAAAAAGGACTAAGTGAGATTAAGATTAGTCGATGCTATGTGTTACATGTTCGCCTGAATCATGTTTCAGGTCGTTATTTGAAATAAGCCGAAATGAATGCGGTTCACATTTGTCGGGTCGTCTCATAAATATCCGTAAATTCAAAATGTAACAAAATGTTACCAACTAACAATTCCATACATCGTATATATTTATTGATTGCACAAAAGATGGATTTCTTATTAACATCCAATTAAGTTTTATGTTTATTTAAGCAAATTAATTTTATGCTAGTAAAAACTATTGAAATATGAGAAACGTTGTCATTCTACTGCTATTGTGTTCAAATATCCGCACATACATGCACACAATTAAAATTCACTTGGCAAATATGTTTGCTTATTATGCGGAAACTAAAAAGCAAATGAATTGAGGCGACCTAATAATATCAATTGCAAATGAATGAAATGATGGCAAAACATACGCATACGCCATAAAGAGCAAAACGGAAAAAAATCGGGCCACACGTGTTTTTGGATAATTTATAAATGCATTTGGTTTTTGGCAAGTTTATAAAATCGGTAAGAGTAAGTTTCTGGTGACCAAAAACCAACGCTTGTTTCGCTATGTGGGGTTCGTGGTAAAGCACATGTGTTTGTACACTCTTCTTTTTCGCTGTTAACACATTTCCTTTCTCTCCCTCTCTCTCTACCTCCATCCGCTGTTCAAGTGGTTCAACTTTATGTACCGCATATAGTATAAGTTGATAGAAAGCATCGGGAATGTTAGTTGATTTTATTCATCCAGCGGAAAACTATGCAAATGCACCGCTGTATGCGATAATATTTTGATTTGGTGAACTGGTAGCTGTTTGTCACTATAAGAATACCGAAGTGAAGCGGTGATATTCTTGAAAATAAAAGGAACATCAAAATATTAAATAGGTCGCCTATGCAGGTGAATTGATATCGGTATGCATGTTGAAAAATGAACATTAAACACACACCCATACCGGCAGAAGGTGTAGATCGAACAAATTTGTAAATGTCAACCGTTGCGCGAATTTGTCGAAGAAGCCAAAAAACAACAATACCACAGCAAAAATTAATTTGTGATTCGGTGAATACAATCAAATGAATTGTATGTTCAAATATGGAAATTGAAAGGATGTTTCATTGTTCGGCATCATGACCCTACGTAACATAGGTTCAATAAAATCGCCACAATTCGCTAGCATTCACTTTGGATTTGTGAATGAAGAAGAAGCTGGCAAATAGATGTGTCCACTGTGCACACATGTTCAAATGAAACACAATGCTACACAGATGTACTGCCACTACTTATTGCAACCATTTCCGTTGGTTTAATATCCAATTCCGTATACACATTCTGGATTGATAAATGACTTTTCTACCAAAAATCACATGTAGGTATGTAACAAGAGTAAGAGAGGAATTTACATTTTTCTGTATTTCATCTTAAACTTGTGCAATTTTACTCCATTTAACAATATTATGGTTGTATTTAGATGGCATTGCAGTTGTACGGTTGTTTTCAGGACCAACATTTTGGTGAGCTCAAGATTCGAATATTGCTTAGATTATGAGAAATGGCATGACATGAGAAATGATCTGCACAATGAAAACCGTGTCAGGAATGTCAGCTACCCAGTGGTTTGCCTTTATGCATGTGCTCAAAAACATACTTTTTACCATAAAATGTCATCGGAATCTCTTTTTTTTCGACCCAAATTTTACTTACTTTTCTGTACCCCATCTTCTACTAGAAGACTTTTAGTGATACCTAATATTTTTGACATTCTAGATGTTGTAATTGATCTAGCTAATTTTCAAATCGTCGGATAACATCTGGATGGTTACGGCGGAAGAAAATAGTTCTAATTGTGTCTCAAATAATAGTTTGCTATGACTAACGTTTACTCTAACTGATTAAAAAAAACATAAATAAAAAATCCAACAGGCCGATACGTTATCTACGCTGAAATGTTTGTTATTTTTTATATTACTCGATAGGAATCATATGACCGTAAACTTTGACACAGAGAATTCTATGAATCAAAATTGATAAGATGTATATTTGAGTCGCAAGCTGTTATTGGTCTCAAGCATTCTATACGGAAAATAATATTAGAAATCGAATATATTTTTATCATAATTGAATATTTTTGGCTGATTGATGCCGCGAAATAGAATCAAAGAGAAGAGTTTAGTTTATAAAATTTAGTAGCGGTATTTTTTTTAATTACTGTCTTCGCATTCTGCAACATCTTCATTCTCACTCATATAAACAATTTCAATATTTTTCAATCACTAAATCTCATAAATTCGAGCTCTGTAATGATCACTGCTCGGGAAAAATTAAAACCACATTTTAATTTGTTCTTAAATTCTTTATTTGGTAATTTCTTCTAAGCAATAGCATTTGCATTGATTAATTTGGAACAAATTATGTTTTTATTGAAGAGAATTAACTATCAATGGGTTTCTACAAATATTTTAGACATTCTGGATGTTCTAACAAAGGTGTGCCACACCAATTGTTTGCTGCTGCGCGACATTCATCTTCACCCCATTTGTCTATCGTATATATGATGGAATTCCTATTTACAAACTAAAGTAAGCCATGTTAAAACATTTAAACAAATAATGAATAATTACTTGGCTGGTTTGTTGTTCGGTGATATGTATTCCATTGGTGCGCTGTCCAAAGATGCAACGAAGCAAACCAATAAAATGATGAAGAATTTCATTTTGATTTTGCTCAAAGTATTCTGGTCGATGATATTCTTATGAATGCACCCAAATTTATACACATGACGGCTTATAAGTATTATAAATTTGGCAGTTATCTATCCTACACTGATAGAACTGTCAGTATAATTGCCACCAATATTATACGTGAATAGTATGACAAAAGAATCATACTGAAACCAGTGCAACTACTATAATATTGTAGTTTACTAGGGCAGTGCAACTCATTATTGTGGGCTTAACTCATGGGAATGGAAAAAAATTAAGGAGGGGGGTCCATAAAAAACCCTAGCAAATCAATGATTTTTTGTCCCGAAAAACCCTAGCAAATTTAAAGATTTCTCTTCACCTCAAAAACTTGAAGAGTACAAAAAGGTCTTCACTTTTTTGGCGAAAGTTCCTAGCAAATCGTAAGAATTTTCGGCTGCCGTCGGAAGGGGTGTAGCTCGAACGATTTAAGGGGAGGTTATCCGGGCTTACACCCCCCTGTGCCCATGTGTTTAATACTGGTGATAATTGTACTGGATGTTCTCTCAGTGTAATTCCAAGAATTATTGCAATCGAAATCAATTTTGTCTTATGTAAAATCAAAAAAAAGACACATTGTTTATTGAATAGAATATATGGTGTCGTGATGTGAAGTCAAATCGTTCGATGTAGAAAGTGTTTACGAACAAAATTCAATGGACGGTGACTAATAACGGGGGCAATTTCGTCAAGAAATTAGAGTATCATTCAAAGCACTAAAAATCAATTATAGAGACATGTATTATTTGTTAAAAAGAAATAAATTGTTCAAATCATTTGATCTGAAACATATGACAATTCAAATCAATTTATGTAAAATCCCATTTTGAGAACTCTTTTATTAAAAGTTATCAAACATTAAAACGCAGATGACGTATCGGTCGGCTGATTTTTCTAAATATGATTTTTTATTTGTGTTTTTTTATCAGTTAGATTAAACGTTAGAAAATAATTTTAAGAAATTCGCAGAATTGAGTTTTGTAGAACAAATCCACATGAAATTTGTCTATTAAACGATATGAACAAAATGGTGAAATAGTCGAAAAGACAATGGTACAAAATATTCACAATATGATCGATATTAGACGAATAGTGTTTGAGTGGTCTTCACACCGGCAATATATGGGCGCAGGTGAATGAAAAATGGGTGGTACGTGTCACGCTTCATGCACACAAATAAAATGGTTCTTCATTCACTAATGTAAACAAATTGAATGTTGTGTTTTGAAATTGGAGTGTTTTTTCATGTTCGTGTCGTTTCTTACGTGTCGTTTTTTTTTTTTTTGATTGACCAGCCAATCAGAATGATTGGAGTGCGATAAATTCGATTTGTAATGGACGATTTTATGCATGGCTAATAATTGCATGGCAAAATACGCTCAAATAACGCAAGTATTTAAGAATCTTTAATTTTGGCTAAATTTCATATTTTTTATCAAATTTTGAAAATAGTAGTCCCCTTCTAATAGAATTGACTGTCCTACCTAAAGTGGATTCTTTTTCCATGTATTTGTATGCATATGCCAAACTGTTGTTGTGCATTTGTGATTGCAAAATTTTCAATTTCATTCATAAATAGGCAATTTCCTGAATTCAACCACAATTCTGATGATGACCGCATATGAATTCTAGTCGATTGACTAAATATTTCGAGGAAATCAATTGTCTCTTCCCCGTGTTGCACATTGCGTCGATAATAATCGTTAAAAAAGATCATTTCAATTCAATTTTATGGGTTTTTTGCTATTTTGAAGCATAGTGAAAAACGAAAAATTACCAGAGTATGCAATAACGCATTTAGTCGACAACGGACATTCATTACAAATGCAATGCAGAAGCAATTATCAGATTTGTTGCATTATATCCGTTAACTTTGTTTGTCAAGCTAGTTCACATCCATCACATCCCTTTCCGCATCACACTTGTTAGTTCACCTTTTATTATTAATTTTGATTTGGCAGCGAACCACGTTTGGTTCATTTACTCTTACATAAAATTACTTCCATTTGAAATTCGTTTTCATATAGACTGTAAATTGAACGTTACGTGTTCAATGATTAAGTTTTTTTTTATTTTGCGAAATCTGGACTGTGTATGAATTTAAAAAATAAAATCACCATATAAACACAATGTTTTTTTTTTATTTCCAAGTCAGTTTTTGTTTTATTTATTATTTTTTTAATTTGTATACGCCAATTTCCATCGGGCTATACATAACGCATACTCTCTAATACAAGCATACTCTCTCTAGTATGCGCAAGATAATATCAGATTGGATAACACACAGTAACCGATTCACTTTTGTTTTACAAAAAAATTTAGCACAATAAATCTTTTAATAATTCATAAACACATGCTACCTATATAGCGTATGAAAAAAGAGCACCCGATCCAATCCAATCAAAAAGAGACAGGCGCTTGCATTCGGTTTGGTTGAAAGAACAAACAGCGATTTGGTGGAAAAAATGAGAGGGATACACATGTCATACAAGGTTGCTTTTGCAATAAGGAATTTAGACAGTGCAAATTGCGGAATTTATAGAATGCCTTTGAAATTTATTCGATTTAATTGATGGATACACCAAATATTATTTATATATTGTCGATGTTCAGTTTTAATCCAATGAAGGTCACAAATTTTTATATTTGGATTTCATGTGGCAACACATTGTTGTGCTAACTTGGTGTCCAACAAGAAGCAATATAAATTGGTGCATCGTGAAACTTTGTTATCCATTTTACAGAGAAAATATTTCCGGGGACTCAATTTTTTTCAAAATTACAGATTAAAGCGGATCAATAGCGAAGAACTTTAAATCGGATTCCGTATAGGATTCAGAACAGATATCAAAGGAAAAATCAAATGAAATCCAATTATAAAATATTTGTGATTTTCGACCAATACATATTGTTACATTTTTTGAATTTTTATCGAAATTTTTAAGACCATAATACATTACATAAAATTTTGGATTTAGAAAATCGGTACCCCCGGCAAAATTATGAGGATTCCAAAAAATGATCGATTTTTTGAAAAAAACTTCCAGTCTTACTTCGAAACAAAATGTTGTACACTTACCTACACTTTCTCTACACTTAATTAAAACAATAAATTTTGAAAAAAAAAAAATTATGTAGCAAAATGATGAGTACACAGCCGAAATTTTGCTCATTTAAGAAAATATTTTGATGAGAATTCAAAAAAAAATCTCTATTCTCAGTCATTTTTGTTTGCAACTACGAACATTTTACTTTTCCGCACGCATAGTGTAAGGTGAAAAGTATTGTAATCGCTCAAAATTTTGAAAACTTCAAAAACATGTTTTCTACCTATTATTGAGGTCAGAGAACACGAATTTGGCGTTTTTAAACATGGTTTTTGTTAATCTGTACGTCGTACGCAAAATTTGTTAGCAAGATTGCGCTCATCGTAGAAACTTAATTCAAAATCTGACTTCACAGGATGATTGGGGGTCGCGAGGAATAGAAATCATTAGATTTTGAGCGACTTTGGTTGATGGAAAAAAAAAAATGTCATGCCTGGAGTGATACCTATGAAAAAGAGTCCAATTTTCGTCCAAAAGTTATACTTAATGTAGACTTAAACACTCAAAAATATGTATTGGGGTGTTTTTTGGCACGAGAAAACCGAATCCGACGTTAGTTTTGAGATACAATCAATTTTTGATACAGTTTCCTTGAAAAAATTACAAAAAATTTGGATCTTTGTATGGGAGCCATGTCTGTATGCTAATTTAATGGCTTAATGACGTGAAACTTTGCACAGGTTATTTTTTTCACAGAAAATTTTTTTGACCCAAAAATTGAAAATTTTGTATGGGAGTTACCCCTAATTTTGATTAAAATCTCTTCAAACTTCCAGAATGTTATTTTTTGTGTAAAAAATAGTCTGTGCAAATTTTCACGTCATTAAGCCATTAAATTAGCATACAGACATGGCTCCCATACAAAGATCCAAATTTTTTGTGGCTTTAGTTATGAAAAGAGTTTCAAAAGTAATTTTTATGGAAAAATTAACGTCAGACATATTTTTTTATAGTGTTTTTTTAGAAAATAGAATACTTTCAAATGTCGTACAAATGGGTTCATCATAAAAGTGTGAAAAATCTTTTCTCGAGTACTTCTGCTATTAAATGAAAGAATATTTCGATGCCAAGGTTTGAACATATTTTTTGGTCTCGAACTTTACGCCGCTTGAAAGGCTTGAAAAATCGAACAAATATTATTTTGAACTTGCTTAATAAAATACGCAACTACCACCATGCGGAAAAGTTCGTCTTACTTTATTTTATTCCGATTTCGTTCGGTTGTTATTCCAGAATGAATATGGTAATATTGTCATATATAAAAATAGTTTTATATCTTACATGTATCATACAGGTATTAAATGATTCCTAATTACAAAAAAAGAAGAAGAAAGTTCTTTGTGCTACAATATCTTGGTTCATGTCAAAGCACGACCTTAGATCTTGAAGTAGAACTCTATTTTGTTGACATCCTTGTAAATTTCTCGCTTTGGAATGCAATTTTTTTTACTATTTACTGTTTAAAACTCTTTCAGACTGAAGTGGATGCTGTGAAATAAAAACGCATACAGCATGAATTTTTAAATGGATAAAGTCATCAAAAAAAAATATCTTTTATGAGGTATAAACCGCGTTAGTTTCGCAGATTCCTTAGCGCGACTAATGTTGAAGGCGTACAAAACCGAAATGCACAAATTCATTTATTGTTTTGTTCGTTGCCAAAAACTTGAATATGAAATGTAATTGAAATTTATGAATGCGTAATGCGATGTATGTACCTGAAGATTGAGCGTCTCTCTCTCTCAGCGCGTGTATTAGAAATGTTCAACTCAATTTGATAAGAATATAGTTGAGATATTAAGATTTTATGTGTATAACTGTGACTCCGACCGTTTCTCATCATCATATTCTTTTTCTTATTTTTTATTATTACATTTTGTGCGCACATATTGCTCTG